TTTTGTGACGTATGCATAAAGCTTGAAAAGTTTGGCTTGCGGCGTATTCGCACTAAAACTACAAAATCTTCTGAGACAAAACAAGTTTTTTTTGCCCAATTTGAATATTAAAAAAAAACCGTTCTGCTTTCCGTAAATGTGGAATTGTATAGGTCAGGTAAAATAATGGTGAGCAATTCATAAAAGTTTGTCTTTAGTGTTGCAGAATTTGAGTTTTTCGTCTCTTCAAATTGACGATCTCGGAACGACAATCTCCTTTTTTCTAGTAACGGTCTTTAACACTCGGGKTTTTTTTGTGAAAACGGTCGCTAAGTTTTCCTGGTGCTCATAAATACGTTGTTGATAGAGGAAAAAATCAGAAATAAGAGTCTGTTTACTAACGCAAAAACGTGATGGTACCACCGAGAACGACGTTGGAGATTTTCAATAAACTTGTTCATTCATGAACTGCAAAACTCTGCATTGTTATTGRAAGTTGACTAGTCATACATATGTTTTGACATTGACTTCAAATATCAGCTAACCGTGAAAAACATTAATGGAAAGAAAGATGGAAAGAAATAGAAGAAAAATCCATTTGGAATGTGACTTTTTGACTACAATCAGCATATCAATTTATAATAATTTTGCAAGATATTTTGTATAGAATATGTTGGAATATCGTACCCAATATAAATGAGATTTTAATCAATTTTATGCCGAGTATGATACTCCTATCCCGTGCAGTTATCAAGTAATAAAGACTCTTGAAAATWTTAATTTTTCTACTTACTTGAAATCACCGCTGTAGATGGGAATTTAACAGTTTTTGAAGCCCAAGCAATTTCCACAATAGCCAATATATAAACTACAAGGAGTTTCATTTTGGGATAGTTGTTAGGAATACTAGGAAATGCACTCCCTTCCCGCTGTCAGGCGATGGGATGAAGTAGATGTTGTCAATAATGCCAGAGAAGGTATTCTTCTATCAGACGAATGTGGTCTTTGCGTTTAGGAAGTCAAGCTGTGTACGCTGGGAACTCTAAAAAGTTGTCATCTGAAAGGTATATAAGAAATGACACATGATAAACTCCATTTTGAACTATAATTATCGGAAATGTTACTTGAATCGTTTCATGTGCTTACRAATTGACATTTTYACAGKTTAGTCAATTAATGTTCATTGCCTTTGAGAAGCTTGTCTCGACTAGCGCGAAAACTCTAATCAATATTCAATAATTATAATTGATTGTAAAGAAACAAGCTTATGAGGTCTTTTTTCGTTATTAATAATGTGGTTTCATTTAAAAACCATTACAGAAACTGATCTGTCTTGGTAGACAACRTCTTAACTACTGCAGATTATAGCATGCAGAAAAAAACCCAAAGCACCTTTGAATGTTGGATTATAAATAAGGAAACACAGAAGTGGGTTTTCTAAAATACTTTCTAAAAATATTGATTTATATATCACCAACTTTATCGCCATAATAACATCAATAACAGAGGGAAATGATCTAGAWTAATGTGTATTGAGCAATATTAATAAAACTGAGTTCTAAAGAAAACTATAAATGAAATTATRAATAAGCAATACTTTTACATTATTCCAACGACGGTGGTAAACAAATGACATAAGAAAGAATGAAAAAATAATAATTCAAAACATAGGAAGTATATTAAGCTCTTTTTTGCGTCTTTGATGGGTTTTTGAATTCTGAAAACTTTCGCAAGATTTAAAAACATTTGTCTAAGTGTTTTGGGCTTCACAAACCAATGTTTTATAAATAATAGTTCATTTCCGGACGGATGTGTAAAATATAACAAAGTTCACCTTAAAAACCTATTTCCTATATTTTCTTGGGATAAACTTGTGTTATTTTATTCATATTTTAACTAGAATCACATTAATACAATCTGTAGAGTAAACTTTTGCCTTTCTTATTTGATGACAGCTCTGAGAATGGATTTCCAAAATTCTGTAGGACGTTTTCAATAGCAAGGCAACATTTCTCATAAAATATTATCATTAGTGCACTAGGTTACCTTATTTTGCTTCTCGYAGCTTGGGACGTAGCTATAAGTATAGGGCTGTCAGAAATCTAGCACCTATCGTGGGATATGGCTGTTGCGTGAGCGGTAAAAAGTATGATGTTTAACGCACAAGTGTTCATCACGCAGCGAATTAGCTGTATCTTGCAGCGTTTTACGTTCAGAGGAAAGATATGAGCAGGTTTTTATTGTTTTATTCAATGGAAAACAGGKATTAACTCCCAGGTGACATGATTACAATCAACTAAAATTAATACTTCAAATAAACAAGATAAGAGGGGATCGTGATTGTTTTTTGATGGAATTAGAATGAAGAAGTGTAGAGAGAAAAAAAATGGGGTCCGCGAAATAGAGTTCTGCAAAGATAATCAAAAGTTACTACCGAAGTCCGTTAGTTTCGGGGCAAAAAAAAATTAGAAAATGTTGATTTTAATGCTTCGAAGATAGCGCCAAGGGGCAACAAATCTTTCTGAAAAGTCAAACAATAACGGAAGATAATTTACATCCTAACGATTGCAAATCAAAGATGTTTATTGAGAAGAATACGGTCCAAAAAAACAATCGAACGCCGGTAAATCAACCTGTTCATCAAACTATAGGTCAATCAATCTATCTGTCAATGAAATGTTCAATCAACCAACCTTTCTGTCAATCATCTTAATCAATCTGTCAGTCAGGCWATCAACATGTCAATCAATCTGTCGATCTATC